TTAGTCCGGAGGCTACGCTCATACACACAGCACAGCACTGTGACAGTCTGTATAAAAGCACACCTCTGTCTTTGGCATAGTCCTCCTTTGACTGTAGCCATGCTGGATTCCACTGCCTTCTGACAGAAAGTGGCTTCAGTTGGGAGGCCTGTGTGCAGCTGTGGCATATTTTCAGCCAGGTGCACAAAGTCCAAAGATGACCAAGTCAAATATGACCATTTTAATGTGTGTAACATCCAAAGATTTAAAGATGCGAACAGCACAAAGGTGCTTTTAAAAAAAGATCTGATCTGTGATCTTTGAACAGCTCAACTTTCTTACGTTTCCCGTCCCCTAAAAATAAAGGCGTGTCAGAGACAGAGGGTTTATCTGTTAGAGGATTTGTCTTTCCAAGTGTGTGTATATATGTTTGTCAGTGTGTGTGTGTGTGTGTGTGTATCAGTGTGTGCCTTCAACTGCACTGAATGAAGCTTTTCCTTGCAGCACTAACTCACTACCATCCTGTCCACAAACCTCGGTGGAATTTGGAGTTTGAGTGCTGAGACATGCAGCGACTGGGCCTCATAAAGACCCTCTGTAAAGGCCAAGGGGTTAGCTTTAAAAAAAAACTCTCTCTCCCTCTCTCTCTCTCTCCCTGAGTCAGGCAGACTGAGGCATTCCTCAATCTCTCCATCTAACCCTGAGGACCAGCATGTTGTCCACTTCTTCTCTTCTCCTCTGCCCTGCTCTCCCTTTCTCTGCCCAGGCCTAATGGATTCAGTGATGTGACTACACCTGCTGTTAACAACACTTCACAACTGGGACTCCCTTCAGTCCCACAAAAGGCTTAGTTTTTAGGCTAACCAGGTCTGAGAAGAGTGGAGTGATCCTAGAATATATCACACGCTTGTTTTTGACCTTTGTCAAACGTCATTCATTGTCATTACAGATGACAAACATTATTCAATTTAAGGACGCTACATTTAATAAGTACAAAAAAGGCTAAAAGCTAGCAACAAAGACATTCCTTGATAACATACCTTGATCGAGTCGAGAATCATTTTGCAGCAATATTCAAACTCCCATCAAACATATCAAGGTAAAAACAATGGAATACCATTGCTTTAAGAATGACACGGTGGTAGCTAAGGGTTAGCCCAGTTAAAGATTAGCATAGAAATATTATATATTTTAAAAGGATAACTATAGTTAAAATGACCGTAACTAAAATAAAAAATTTAAAAATTTGCATCTTAAAGTCAGGTTTAAACGTTTGGTCATGTAACTTAAAGTCAGGTTTAAACGTTTGGTCAGACATAGCTTGTAGTTAGCTCAAAGGTGTAGAGAGAAGGTCTGGAGATCTGTCTGCACCTCAGTAATGAAATGATTGACCTTCATGATGTGACCAAAGTCACAGTACCAGCTCTGTAGTACTGCTGTAGTATAGTGTACTAGTGCAGTGATGAAGAGCTGCTCGTGTCATAGTCTGATTATGAAGCCCTGAATGATAAAGACACGACTGTGTGTGCACGTTAACTACAGAGATCACCTGTGTATAACATTACCCAGGTCAAACTCGAGCTCTTTTCAAGAACTTTTAAGATAAAAATGTTTTAATGTTCAAATTGTCTTATCCCAGCCCATTTCTTTGGGCTAGCATTCAGCTAACTCTGTTGACAGCATTTTGTTTTCTTCTAAAGTTTTAAAATAATCATTTATCTTTAAGATACTTCAGTATTTTTGCGCAAACTGGGTTATTGTTTGGTCAAGCTCAGTTAAAGTATTTTGACAAATAACAGTTCTTTCTCTGTGTCCAGGTGGACGATGAGGACATTCGTGCGGTTTGTGTTGGGACTCTTGGTCCTCAAAGCGGTGGTGGCCAGTCCTCGATTTTCTCGACAAGTGGATTTGGATTCTTACGATGATGCCAACTACGACGTTGAACCGGATAATATCAATTTGGAGAACCATGATAACTACGACTATGAGGCCGAGCTGACCATCGATGACCCTCAGGTAAGAACATGTACAGATCCCAGACCAGTTTTGGGGTTTGATTTTTCATTTAGTATCTATGGTTTACAGTAGTGGCTGTTGGTTGATGATGGTTGTTTTGGGGTTTTTTTTAAATAAGGAAGTCAATCAGGGAGTCACTATCAGGGATAGGAAGCTAAGGTTGTCCCTTTTATCTTAAAAAGTTTAAACCAGGGGTGTCAAACATATAGCCCGGGGGCCAGAACTGGCCCGCTAGGTTGTTCAATACGGCCCGCTTGTTGCTTTAAAAAAAATAGACAAACACATATACACATGTTCAGGGTATTGTTTTTGTATAATTATATTTAATTAAATATGCATAAACAAAAATAAATATCAAATATACTTGTAATTCTTTGCATGAAAACAAATGAGGAAAAACATGGACTCAATGTGATTCTTGGTTAATTACATTATGATCGTACTGGTCCGGCCCACTTGACATCTAATTGGGTTGAATCTGGCCCGTGAACCAAAATGAGTTTGACATCTCTGGTATCAACTTGCTAATTTACATGCCAATGTGTCCTTGGTAAACTTTTGAATGGCAGCTGTGTTTGTGGCAGACAAAGGTGTTTTCAAAGGTTTTGAGATTTTTTGAGATTTATTTGCAAAAGTGCTGCATTTACCAGGTTATGTCCAATGTCTGGTTCCAGGACTAGTTGTGGCTCTTGGGTAGAGTTAGACACTGATTTTTTTTTTCTCTTAGATTCTTTCGTTTTCGTTTCTTTCGAACTTGTGGCTATTTCTTTGTGTAAATATCTTTTAGCGTACTTCTTTTACATTTGCTTCTTCGCTAATATTTTTAAGCTGTCTGTTTAGCTAACTTTTCTTGGATTATACTTTGACGTTTAGTTGCTTTGCTTAAATGTATAGCGTAGAATAACATTTCTGGGAATTTATGAATGGGAATGAACTGAGTAACAAGAAAACTGAAACTGGTCACACCGACACTCAACACAGTCTGTACACAAACGTAGATGCAGCCTTTTACGTAAATCCTAAATAATCCTTTTCAGGTTCAACAGCCTGTCATGCTGTAATATTGGCAGCCTGCTCTGTTTTAGGTCACTAGGTTCACCAGGCAGGAAAACAAGCTACCAACCAGAACTATTTTGGAAACAGGGTGAAGTGTTTAGTCTAAGCCAAGATCGCGGCCAATTTCGCATTCACCTGGACAATATTCAGTGACGAATATTGAAATACTGAAACCGAATCCATCTGCACACAGAGAACGTTTTTCTGTGAGTGTAGAGAGGATTACTGACTCAGACGCTACCAGCTATTTGAACTTAAACATAAAGTGGACGAGTTGATTAAATAAATGTGTTTTTTTTTTTTGAGTGTGTGTGATCCTTTCTTCGGATGTTCAATTTTATGCATTTTTTTTTATTGAAAATTTTGTGCAAATTTATTTAGCTCATATATTTGTGCCCCCTATAGTTAAAAGATAGCCTAAAGCCTAAAAGATAGCCTAAAGCTAACTGTAGATTCGACAGAACTGCTAAGAATTATATTAAAATTCATATTTTTATTATTTTATTTAAATGGCAAAGACAAAGCTTAAGGTTAGCCGAACTATATTATTCGATGCATTTTTTTTTATTGCAAATTTTTTTGCAAATTAATTTAGCTCATATATTTGTGCTTAAGGTTAGCCGAACTATATTATTCTAATGTTGCCTAAAATAAATAAAATAACTGCTAGCCAAAATGTGCATCGGACATAGCTAACAGTTCACCAAGAGTAGAAAAGTTATATTTAGCCTAACGAGAAATGTAGCTGAGCAAGAAAGCATCCGCAAGTTAGGGGCAAAAAAAGCAAAACTTTAACTATAATAGTGTATTTTGTGATAACTCAAATCTTCCTCTAAAATTTTCACTTTTATTTTAACCAATTTTTCCAGAGTTCTCACTAAAGTTCTGACCCTGCTTTGGTTCATTCAGATCAACGTTCTTCTCTGCACAGCAACTTTTAGAGAAAACATTTTGAAAAACCAACTCCGGATCCAAAAATGTGCTCTTTAATAAGCTCTGATGGAGTGTGATGTGGTGAAACATCAGCCGAACTGATTGAGTCTAATTTCATGTTCCCCTTTTAGAATGCTCCGTAAGAAGAAAATTGGGTCAGAGAGAACTTTGGCTCCGTCCACGTAGGAACTGTCAGCCTTTCTCTCCCTGAGCCAGTGCCTTAACTTAAACCTGATGCGGGGCTGTGTGTTCTCCTGCCACCGCTCTTATCTCTCCCACAATCCTGTGCAGCTTCGGCAGATAAGATCGGGGCCCCTTGTCTTCATTTAAATGGTAGCATGCACACGTTTACTGTGGCTGTGGCGCAGGACGGTGCTCAGTGTGGGAAAGTTGTCATGTGTCTCAGAGTGGATGATAAGACGTCTCTCTTTCCACTCAGTCTGGATGTAACACGACACGGTGTAGCTGGTTTTGGCGGCAGTTTGTGGAAGCGGGAGAATGAGAAACAATTATCTTTTTCCTCGTCTGAGGGTCCGTGCAGCGTCAACACTGGGGCTTTGGTCGGTGACACAGTCAAATATGAGAAAAAGAAAAACCCACAGACTCTGCTGCTTCAGGAGGACGAAGATTCATTCACACATCAGGCGTCACTTGAGAAATGAAGTGGTGATGCGCTCCCTGCCCCTGGAATGCTGAGTCTTAGCTTTTCACCTCCAGCTCTTCGTCAGCTTCTTTGTCTCCTCTCCCCCTGAAGTTTTTTTTTTTTTTACAATGCTACAAGGCTCATTTACAATGCTGTGAAAACAAATAGATTTAAAAAAAGATCCTCCAATGCTTTAAACAGTAACTTTAGATTTATTGAGGCTTCTTTTCGAGGTCTTTCTACGACATTGAAATGCCTGTGGGCGACATGGTGGACTGGTGGCTCGATCTCTTGCCTTGCAGCATAAAGATCACTTGTTCAACTCAGGATTAAATAAATGATTCACTCTAAAATGAATGGTGTGAATGTCTGTGTGAATGATTATATTTCTCTATACGAGACCACGTGATGGACAAGTGAGTACACCTTAGCCCCATGACAGTGAGTACTTCCAAGTATTGAGCTATGGAAGACAAACATGCTGGGAAATAGGTTCTTTAATAATGTACCCTATTTTATTAATGGTGGGAGAATTTTTAAAAAGTATGTGCTCATGAATTTTAAATTTCTTTTTTTAAATATCGTTAAAAATGTTAATAAAATGTTGTGATGTGTTTAGTGAATGTTAATTTTTTTAAAAATATCGTTAAATATGTTAATAAAATGTTGTGATGTGTTTACAAAAATGTTAGCTTTGAATTACAGCTAGCTCACTTTTCATTGTATTTTATCATGCAATTTCCATTAAATGGAAGCATAATTTACAATGATTAAATGACAGGCAAGACTTTAAAAGCTCGTTTTCTTTTACATAAGTCTCCCCTGAAACCTTATATTGCTTTCTTTAAGCAACGAGCAAAGTCGCCCCCTTATAATGCTATCTTTAAGCAACGAGCAAAGTCGCCCCCTGGTGGCTGCGGTCATCTTCCATCAACTTAACTGCAATTGAAGTCAAACCAAAAGTGCAGTGTCAGGGAATTGAGCGGTCAACAAGACACGACTTTAGTGCTAGCATAATAAACCAGGTAACAGTTATATTCTATACACTTTACAGGTGGCCACATCTCCAACTATGGTACCAGCTGCTGTAAACCACCAAAAGCTAATGTAGCCACTATAGCTAATAGCATGATAGCATGCTAATGTGGCTATGAATAAAATGCTAATGTGTTCTTGGAAATGATGACACCTGAACTAGCGTGAACAATATGTAATAGAAAAATATATACAGTGTGAATAAGTATATAAGTAGTAGTGTGAATGGCTTGAAGTGGCAATCAAAACTAGAAAATACTATAGGACAAATCTGTTTTATATATTAGTATACAGTATTGCACTGGTTTCTACTGAGTACTGAGCGGCCTCTCTTACGGGCACGGAGCTATTTCTTTGACCACTCCGGTACAGTATATAGCAATAGCATAATTAGCATTTAGGGTTATGCTAACAGCCAGCATCTCTTCCCTGCTCTCTGTATTTCCATGCTCTTTCCAGATTTTTTCTGTATGTTTTTTTGGTGGCTAGCCTTTCACCTCTTCTTTTCCCTCAGTTGCTAATGTTTGCTTTAAGCGAAAGGGGGGAAGTGTGTGTGTGGGGGGGGGCTTTAAAAAGTCCATACTGGACTTTTTAAAGGCCTTCCTTGTTGTGTTGTAAACTGTGTCTCTGCCGAGCTTTTAAATTTCCGATTCAATGCTAAAATATCATCGAGGTGTTGCTAAGTTAATGTTAATTTCTTTTTGGTGCATACTTGTATTTTTTACCACTTGGCTTTATGGTATCTGATCACTTGTGTTGAACGCAGCTGCATAGACTCAAATATTGGTGAATATTGCAGCTACCATGTGTGTCTTGGTTCCACAAGGACCATTCCCTTTTCAGAGGATTGACTCAGTCTGTTTGGGTGTGAGAGACTGTCAGGTACTACCTGGGCTGGTGCGTAGGGGCTCATCGCCCTCGTCTGGACAATGAGGGAACTGCAAAAAAAAAAGCGCCTTTACTGTAAATGCAATCACAGCAGCAGACGGTGAAAGACGGAGTCTTTTCACTAAAGAACCAGCTGTAGTGTAATCTGTAAATCTTAGCTGGGCTGTGAATGTTGTCTTTTGATTGTTTTTAACCCACTATAAAACCCAATAGCTTGGCTGATGAATGAACAAAATCTGTTTTGCCTTACGTTTTTAACATATATTTACATTTAGACACATTTAGTGCCTGGGAGAAATATGTGGCCAGATCTTTGTTAAAAAGACAGTTTACTACCAGTATGAGGATGTTCTGATATCATTATTTACCACGAGAAGTCAAACGTTCTCAGACAGCTGTTATCATTCTATAAAGTTTAATCACTAAAACATGTTGTCTCCTACAAGTGACAAGTTTTATCTTTAAATCTCTGCCAAGTGTTGAGCTGTGCGTGTATTTTATGGGTTTCGGGGTTTCTGGTTTATTCCTAGTGTTGCAGATACTAAATAAATAAATAAAACACTGCAACACGTTTTGTGTGTTAGTACTCCAAAGCACTCGGCTCGGAGCCTTTAGCGCGTTTGCCTCTTCTATTGTACTTTAAACCAAATATTTTGCTGCCATCTAGTGATGGACATAAGGGACTTTCAGGAAGTGTCGTTGATTATTCTGAATTAAAACCGTTTTTAAAAATAACCGCAATGTTGGTGTTGTAAAGTTGTTATTAAAGTGTTTTATTTAGTACTTTATATCTGGTTAAGTTTGTTAAGTAGTGGTGGGGGGTTTTCAGGTGTTTTAGGAAACTTTCGCTAACAATGCTAACGTAGTCAATGCTGGCCTTTGCGTCTTCATTTAATTCCTCTTTTTCTTTTCTTCAACTAAGTAGTGCATAAGAATACCTTTAAAAATGAAATTAAATCGTTGAGGTAATTTAGTTCTCAATTGAAATTTAGTCATTAGATTAATTTAGGCGATTCTTATGATATTGTGTTTACCCTTTCTGCTGTAATTTAGTTGAGTTTTAACTTGGCCACAAGGTAAAAGACAATGGTTGTACTAAGAAAACCCAACCAGACCTTTTAGATTTTTTTTTTTCACGAAAACAATTCATTTCCTGTCACAAAATGTCACATTTGATACATAACAACAATTATTTTAAATGGACAATAATTTATCATGTTTTTATTTTAAATCTATAACTCATTGCTGCCTTTTTCCCTTCAGATAGAGATTGGAACACTGGCCCCACCTGACTACAACTACCCTGTACCTGAGGCATCATTGGAAGAACAAGAGGCTGAAGAGGAAGAAGAAGAAGAAGAGGTGCCTCTGAAACCTCAGCTCATCCCTCAGGGTTCCGGGGGATCTGGGGTTCTCATGGGCCCAGAAACACAAAAAGGTCTGAAAAAGCACCAACATTTAGGTCCATACTTCCATAAATTTTACTTCTCTTCAGACACCATTTTGGGGGGTTTACATAATTTTCTTTGGGCTGGCGGTTTGGTGAAAGCAGCATTACCCACAATTAACCTAAACATTCACAACTCTGCATCTTTTGAAACCATCTTGCCTGTGTGCATGCCTTCCATTTAAATACTTGTTGATGTTTAAATGTGTTCAATAACTGTGTCTATTTGTCAACTACTGCTTAACCTAATCATCATTGTGAACTTTAGGCCTGATTGTTAATCCATGTCAGTCTATACTGTTTTTTTATTTTTATTAATACCTAATCTTGTCTCTATTTAATCCATGTCAGTCTATTCTGTTTTTTTTATTAATACCTAATCTTGTCTCTAACAAGAGGTGGAGCTTCGTCTGATGCCCATTGACATCCTTCATGTATCCGGGGACTTTGGGGGTTCCGTTGGGTCTGGGGCCTCTGGAGCTTCTGGGGCTTCTGGGTCTGGAGGGTCTGGGGGCTCAGGGGATCTGATGGTTTTCGGAAGTTCCGAGATTTCAGGAGGTTCTGGCGGCTCTGGTGACATTGTCTTCATCTCAGGAGTTTCTGAAGAGCTATTGGGTTCTGGAGGGTCAGGAGAATTTCTGTTATCTGGAGATATCTTGATATCTGGGAAATCCTGGGTTTCTGGAGACTTTTGGGGATCTGGAGATCTCTCGGGATCTGGGCATCATTTTGGATCTGGGGATATCTCAGGGTCTGGGGATATTCTTGTATCTGGCATGTCTGGAACCTCTGGGGACTTTGGCTCTGGAGTTTCTGAGATTGCAGTTGAACTTCCATTGGGCTCTGGAGAGTCTGGGGACCAGTCCGGTTCTGGGTTCTCTGGAGACCTGTTGATCTCAGGAGCCTCTGGAAGCTCTGGGGTTTCTGGGGACTCTGAGGAGTCCGGGGAGTCTGGCGTAGTTTTGTTATCTGGAGGTTAGTATCTTTAGTGTCTCCTGGATAAAAAAATAACTAAATATTAGTCCATGTGATTTATGTGATTAACTGTCCTAAACTTCCATTTAACTGCACCTTTTTATTGTAGTTAAATGTTGATTGTGTGTTTTATATATCTGTTTTTCTGTTTGTTATGTTGTCTTTTCATCCTGGCCAAACTTCTAACTTCTCTCTTAACCCACAACCTTTGGCTCTAACAAGAGGAGGAGCTGCCCCTCGTTCCCGACACTGTCCCTGAAGAAGCATCGAGAGCTTCTGGGGAATTTTCAGGAACTTCAGGAATCTCAGGGGCTTCAGGTGACACTGGGGTTTCCGGAGACATAGACATCTCTGGAACCTCTGGGGTTCCTAGTGTTTCTGGCTCTGGTGACACAGAGGTGCCTGAGGTAGTCCTGGTCCCTGACATTGATAAAGGTCAGTATTTATGACTTGGTGTGAGAACATGTATAGGATTGACCTTAGATCTTAGTATACTCTGGCCCACATTAGTTCCTGTCCCATATTTGAGGCTTGTGGTCCATCATTCTCGTTGATCGTCTAATCAACTTCTCAAGGCAGACTTCCTGCAACGTGCTCTCTAACGTTCATGTTAATTTTGTTTTTTTCAAAACTGCCCATTTCCCTGCAATTAACAAAAACCATCAACTAAAATCAGGATATATTAACAGTGCTAGACTGATAATATACTGTACATCACTCATCACAGCGGCAAACAGAAGGTTGAATGTTTGCCAGACTTTCTGTTCCATGTCCATTCTCCTCTAATTTGTCTCTTTAACACCTTAACTTGTCTCTAACAAGAGGATGGGCTGCTTCCGACTACACCAAAAACCCCACAAGAGGGTGCTGGGAGTGTAGAAGGGTCAGGATTGCCAGAGCCTGGTGAACCTGATGAGCCTGAAGAGCCTGTGATTGACACAAAAGGTCAGTAATAAAGCACTTTGGTTAGCTTTGTGGAAGATTACATTAGATTTAAGTTGGTTATTTACTGAATACAAGGGTTTAGATTTAAGACGGTCAGGAGACACCAAAGATTCTGTGTCAAAGATTTTTGAGGCCGTTGCCCTAAACCAAGGGTCACCAACTATATTTGTCAGAAGGCAGAATAACACTGATGAAAAATAACATTTTTGTCTAAAATTATTATTTGATGTTTATTTTGGAATCCAGCCGTGGGCCGGATTGTATGGTACAGTGGGTTAGATTTGTCCTGCGGGCCACCAGTTGATTGTCACTGGCTTAAACCACTTATCAAACCCTGGGTTACTTTTCTGTGTGCAGTCCTCAAGTTTCCCCTAAAAACAAATGGGACACATAAACCATTGCAAACATTTTCTCATCTAAAAAGTCAATTAAAAAAAAAGTTAAATGTTGAGGAAGTTTCATTGCTGAACATGATTGACAGGTGTTACGTCCAGAGTTTACCACTAGTCCGTCAGAACCTTTGAGGATCAGAGGTATCCTCAAGAAATTCAAGCAAGTCCAGGTGCCTACTACTGGACTACTGGGTGTGCATGAGACATTCTGGAGGACTCAGAACCTTTACCTACCGGTTAACCCTCACGCTGCCTTCTCTTTCACCAGGTATGCCAACTTGCTTGCTGTGCACGTGCCTCGGAGGTTCAGTCTACTGTGACGACTTAAGGCTGGACACCGTACCACCTCTTCCCAAAGACACCACTCATTTCTACGCACGCTACAACAGAATCACTAAGATCAACAAGTCGGACTTCGCTTTCATGAGTATGTCGGCCTTTTTTTAATGAAAATGTTTGAATATAAGACCAAGGAAGTTCTGGGTGGGTTTAGAAAGGTGAATGTAAAACGCAAGTGTCCTATGTGTTGATGATGGCAGTATCGTGTGACAATATCAGAAAAGGACTGAACAAGTTTTTTTTTTCTCCTTTCTCCAGACAAACTTAAAAGGATCGACTTGACCGCCAATGAGATTAGGAGCATTGATGAAAAAGCGTTTGCGGGTCTAGCCGAGCTGGAGGAGCTGGTGATACGGGAAAATCACATCTCACAGCTGCCTCCTCTGCCAGAGACTATGACATTGATCGACGCCAGCCAAAACAACATTGGAGGCAAAGGCATTCACAGAGAGGCATTCAAAGTATGTCCATGCCCGTTTAATAACCTTTAATAATGCAGGATATGTCCATTAAAAGGGGAAGTGGTGGCTTAGTGGTTAAGGAAGCGGACTTGGGTCCAGAAGGTTTCAGGTTTGAGTCCACCAGCTGCCAAGTTAGCACTGAGGTGCATTGAGCATGGCACCGTCCCCACACACTGCTCCCTGGGCGCCTAAAAAGCTGCCCACCGTTCACTTTGGTGATGGGTTAAAAAAAAGAGGTCACATTTCATTGTGTGCTGTAGAGTAAGTAGTTCAATTTCCTTTTCCTTACATATGTCGTTACATTTCATATCCAGGATATGTCTAGCCTGAAGTACCTGTACCTGACAGACAACCAGCTGGACTATATCCCTGTGCCTCTGCCAGAAAGTCTGCGATCACTGCACCTGCAGGTATAAAGTCAAAGGATTGTGTAAATAACAAATCATGACATTGTCTTTGTTCTTCAATCAATTAATTTCTTCTAATTACTTCTTCCTGTTACTGCAGCGCAATAATATTCAAATGATGCACGAGGACACGTTCTGCAACATGAAAGACTTCAACTACATCAGGAATGCACTGGAGGACATCCGCCTAGACGGCAACCCCATCAACCTCAGCAGGACCCCGCAGGCCTACATCTGCCTGCCCCGCATACCTATTGGGAATCTTATTTAACCACACACACAAACACACACACACAGAGTCTTACACAAATGCAACCACACACTTTTGTACATATTGACACACTACATCACACAAATCACACAAACACCTGTAATCAAATGCCACGACACAAACACACAAACACCTGTAATCAAATGCCACAGCAAACTTTGTAACTGTCCATCATGCTGCTTGTGTGTACTTCAGGTTAAACCTTGAATAATCCAGTCCAGACACATGCTCTACTGTTTGTCCTTGCTGTTCGTCTGCTCTGACTTCTCTGATGGATATGACACAAAACTCAAACTGTAAGTTGTTTCTCAGATAGGCTCCTGCAGCCGAAAAATACACGAAGCAAAACATGAGTAAACATAAGCCGAATACCTTGGTTTTGACAAATGCAGGCGACGTATATTTAATGGTAAATATAAAGAATCAACACAGCTTAATGTCCCAGAAACCATGTTTACCATGCAGCTAACAATTAAGCTAACTAAATTCCACAGTACTGTGCAAAGGTTTTAAAGACCCAAAGCGACCCAAGAGTGCCATCTACTGTCCACAAAGATCCGACCTTTGCACAGCACTGCATATGTTCAGGCCAGGCTGCAGACCCGAATCTGGGAGACAGTAATGTATATTTTCACCAAATCACACACAGACACACACACACACACACACATACCCAAAGGAACTGTTGCCAAAACACAAAAGGTTCCACACAACTTGACATGAAAAAAAAAAAAAACTGTGGCCAAAATCCAGTCATTTACTTTATTAAAAAGCCGCTAAAACATTGTTCACTTCTTCTTGTTATTGGGAAGAAAACTGGTTTTAAACTAATATAAAAATGTGATTGTTTTGTATAAAAAAGTAATTCAAAAACAATATTGAAAAAACTAACACATTTGGAAATATATTTACTATAATAGACTTATTGAAGCTGGAGCTTAATGGAGGCTGATGGAGAAATATCTAATGCAATAAAAGAAGCATTTTAAATAAGATTGTTTGTTGTAAAGTCTGTACTGTAATATAAAATATATTATTCTGAAGGTTTTTTTTTTATGAGCTGCCTTAGTGGGTAGATTACATTCCTTCTTAACCAAAGACAGAGAGTCTACAGTCCAACAAATTCAGACTTTTATTTGATGTGGGAGGATTCTGTTGATGTGAACTGTGAAGAGGTTAAGAATAAATCTCTAAAAGCTTGCTATTGTGTGCTTTGTATGGAATAACCACAAGTGAATAAAGTTTTTGAAGACACCT